ATTTCCAGACAACTGCGAATTTTCTAAATATTATCTTATTTAAGTTGTTCTAAATTGACTGACCTGGAATATGTATTCACCGGGTCGAATGTCTGTGATATCGATCCACTGGCAGTCAATGTCATGGCGGTACGTGTCCCAGCAGCCAACGGAGATGCCCTGCTGACCCCAGTTGTAGCAGGCATATCTCTTATGGATACCTAAAGGGATGAAACACTCATACTTGAGTTATATCTGTGTGGTGCAGCTCACAGCAGTCACTGCTTTTTCTATAGCAGTGACTGTGCATTAAAAATAGACTTGAAACAGTTTTAACATTCGAATGATCCGTAGTCAAGCAAAGATTTGTGTGTTTTTCCATTAAAAAGTCCGATCGTTACTGCATAAATCTTTTATGTAAAACATCTTTTATTCCTTTAGAATGTTTTTCTAATAATTAACGCTTTATTTAACTTTTAAAGTGGCCTCAAAAAACAGTTCTCAGGACAACTTTTGAGAAAAAATCCACAAGGTTCTTTCTCTAGTAACTGACTATCGTTAGAGACCTATTGCGTAAATTCAATCTTTTTATTTTTTATTTGCTTTACAAATAAAATATTTTAAGATTCAAATTTTTTTAAAAATCTTTTTAATAAAATAATGTTTTGTCTATGATCTATTTATCATAAAGACATACCGTAATTAGTTTCCTTTTCTATTTGAACATATTTGCAACATTAAGACAGCCAGCAAGTTTAACAAACTTTGGAGAAAATCATGTTTTAGCCACAACTAAGTGAGTCTCAAAAAGCTATTTGCTGAAAACTCTTCATTTAAAAGAGGACTGTCTGGATGATGATGCAGCCTTCAGATCTTTTCTGTCCTGTTTCTATATCCCCTATTTCACACACTGTGTCATATGTCTTGTTCTTTCTGTTGCAATTAGAAGCCGTTTTAAAGATGTTTCTAAACAGGACCCAAAGGATCTGAATAGAGCTTTAGAAAACATAAAAAACTTTTAGTCAGAAACAGGAAAACTATTTTTTTTTAACAATGTCTGTGGTGTTTATAAAAAGAGGGATTGAATCCTTTTTTGTGAGGTCATCTTACCATCAGGGCAGTAGGTGTCCTCAAGGCAGAAACTGGCTTTGTGACCCTCAGCCACTTTTGTCCCATTGAGGGTAAGTAGGTCATAGTGAGTGAACACCTCAATACTGTGGTAGTGTCTGAAAAAAAAATAGCAAACAGCAAAAATATGATATAAAGCTACAAAAGAAAAACAGTGCAGCCTTGATTTCATTTTGGTATGAAACATGATGACCATAAATCATGTTATGTTCTCTACAGCTGTCAAACAGACATGATAAATGCTGATAAAAGCTCATGGGAAAAGCAAATTCGGTTTGATGATACTATTCCTCGCCTCACAAAGCAATACCAAAAACAAACATTACCAAAACTGTAAGTCAAACCATGTGTTTGCTGGTGGAGTAGGTAGTAATTGTGTTGTGGTTGTGCTTCTTGTTCTAGGACACAGAACCACATCTGCCGAGATAAGAAACCAGCAGGCTGAAATAAGTCCTTCCTATAACTAACAACAGGGCTAACCAGTGAGGAGGATTTTAAATGTAAACTTTATCTGTCTCTAGTTTGTAAAATAACATACATTTAAAAGATTTTGACCATTTATAGACAAAACCTATTCTATGCAGTCCACGGGGATTCTGTTTCACTTTCTAAATTCTGTGTTTCCATTCATGTAAGACAGCAAAGCTTTAGTTTACAGCGTATGGAATTACTATGCAATTATATTTATATTGTAAAATCTTGGAGCAGCCCAGTTGTGAGAAGAGAATGGCTTATTATGTCAGATTAAAACCAAAAACTTTAATGTTTTTTATTGAAATTGTAAGTGTTCAATGTTGAAGAGGAAAGGGAATGATAGATTTACTTTTTGCTTTTATTAGAATAATCCACAAACTGGGGTGTGCATTTATATCCATCCCATCTAAGCCTTTACTTCACCTGTAATTTCAAAGCCTTCCCACATATTCTCAGTTGGTCTGCTGTGTTCCTTAGTTTTCATTGTTCTGTTTGTTCAGTGGTGTTCATGAACAACTTCTGATGATGCCCTCATAGAGCAGATATACCCATTATTAGGAAGAATACACAAATTAGATGAACTGTTGACTAATAATACAACCTCTGAGGGAAGTTGGTTGTACTGGGATCAGAGATAGTTATAGCAGCTGTAGAAGATCTCAGAAAACAAGCTTTGGGGAGCTTCCTGTCACCTACCTGTGACACTGGTGCCAGACCCAGCTCTCTCTGGTGGCTCTTGGTCTGAAGTCAGCCATACCAACGTTCATGATGCGAGAGGAGAAGCGCAGTAGTCTGCGATGTCCATAGGGCCAGTTCATCCTGGCAGCAGAGGAAGAAAGGCAGTTCTCCTCGTTAGCACAAGTCAGCAGATGGAGAGGTCGGTCCTCCAGGTAGGCCGTCTCCTGGACAAGCTGGGCATCCACCACAAGGTCAGGAGCAGCTGCATGAATCATAGAGGTTGAATAAAGTATGAAACAACCTTCTTTGATTTAACAATTTTAATTAAAATCTATCCTATATTATCCTTATGTTTGCTTGATTGTCCTTTATTACAATCAGACTCAGCATTTAAAATATTGGCCAAAGAATTTAAATTGATATAAAGCAAAAATGTCATCTTCTTTCCTTTAGCATAGAAGAAAATAGCCCTTAGAAGGTAAAATAACAAGTAACACCTCATAATACCCGATTCTTCCTCTCAAGGGCAGTTTTTTTCCTCCACAGCAATCAAAGCAGCTCCAAGGTTGGACTAGTTAGCATTATTGTTCCACCATACTATTGACTTTTTTTCCTGTCCTCTTTAGATTAGAAAAATTCACAAAAATGTTTGTTGGAAATGTTGTACCGGTAAATAAAAATTGTGATGTTTTGCTGTAAGTTGTTGTATGGTCCTAATTCACCGAAGAGTTAAATAAAACAAAGATAAGAAAACTTAAACATAAAAAAAGTGAAAAAACGTAAACCGAAGAAAGTTCATTTCTAGTTCTAAATATACACAGGGTGTGTCAGATGTGAGAGTACATATACATGGCCAGTTACTCACATACTTTAACATATTTTAATGAGTTTTTGGTTCAAAACCAGCTGCTTTTATACTGAAAAGTTGACAACACTGCATATGAGTGAATGTGCCAAACTAAGCCCTGCCAAGTTTTGCTGATCGGGATAATGATTTAAAAGTGAAAGTTGTGATAAGTAGAAGACAGCTGTGACTATCTGTCGGGTGTTGAGAAACTCAAAGGAAGCAACAACAGCAGGAAGTAAATCATAAAAAACTGTTTTTGTAAAGACATGGCTGCAAGAAAGGGAGAGAAAGCCAAACATAGAAGAGCCAGAAAACAAGAAGGGTAAATGTGTAGTAGTGCAACAATGATGCCCTTTATTATCCTTTTAAGCTGTCATCCTTCATGTGCCAGGACACATGGTGGACGTAAAAATTAGAGTCTTAAGGAAATACAGAATTTTATGTAATGACACATTATCTATAGTACACACAGGGAGACTGCTTAAATTGTCATCTGCAATAATTTTGCTTTGACTTTATGATATGAAATAATCACTGTTTCAGATAGCAGCTCAGTTTCACACATCTGGCTATGTGACCTATTTAATAACTGGCTGTTCATAAAATTATGCCTATATTAGAGAAAAAATTGTGTATCCATCCATCCAGTTTCCGTCACGCTTATCCCTGCTGGGGTTATGATGGGTGCTGGTGCTTTTCTCTATGTGTGCGGGCGAGAGGCGAGAGGCGGGGTACATCCTGGACAGGTCACCAGTCCATTGCAGAAAATTGTGTATTTTTATTTCTTTTTTCTTCTTCAACTGAAGTTTTTTATGTGAAATTGGAATGGACTAAATTTAGTATCAGTAACTCAGAAATCAGCTGCAAAATTCATATCAGTGCATCTCTTCAGAGATCAAAGGAAAGGGAAAGTGCCAGACTTATGGGAAAGATTTATAGTGTGGTTTGAAATAAACACTTTACCAGCCAGTGGGGGCAAACAGCTGCAAAGCTGAAATACCAGTTTCACATAATACAAGTCTCCCACAAGCCTGTAAATAAACTATGCAGTGTAGCATGTGCTGGAGTTTCCTTTAACAATCTCTTTGCGACAGATTAAGTCACCGGTTTTAGACTCACTTTCCACACAAGCCACTCCTGCAGCTCTGCCATCTCCGCCTCGGGGACAATAGACTTGGTCATTCCTGCGACACTGCTGTATGGACATCTCTGTGCCCACGCAGTGAGTCCCGCTAAGCAACACCTCACTGGCATCCGGGGATCCCGACCAGAACCAGGTCTCCTGCAAAGAGCAAGTTCATGAGTAAAACAATTAGACTGTGTTTTTAAGCGTTTCTGGAAGAATAATGAGGAACAATTATGAAGGATTTAGATACTAACGGCACACAGTAGCCTCTACTATAAACACCAGAACACATTTTTATAGGCACTATCAGTACACATTATCACATTTTCCACTCTTATTCACAATTTTAAAACTGCTTGTTAAATATTCCCAGCATCCCCCCTCAGAACACACTCGGGCTGCTGTTTCCATTCACTGTTCTATTTTCAGTTTGTTTGCTCTGTGAATTCCCCCCCTCCATCCGATCTCTCTTCGCTTCACTTTCCCTCTTTTATTTTCAGTGCACTGGAAGTGGAAGTTTGAGAAGCCTGTAATTACTTCAGGCCTCAGTAATAACACAGCACACTCATACAAACACCAGAATGGAGAGGGAGAGAGGAAGCACAGAGAGAACAAAGTTCACAGAAGGAAAAAGGAAACTGCTGGGCGACTAGAATTCACCTCATGAGCTCTGGAGGCGAATCCAAAGCCAAGCTGCCGACAGACCACCATGGCTTCGTTGAGGCCAAAGTTCTCGCTGCAAACTGAGCCCCAGCGCTTTACTCCTCCAACCTCGACCAACACCTCCACACGGCCCTCTGCACGGTCTCTCCCACCTGCCAGACGCACCTGGGTGCACGTTGAGGAAAGCTTGTTACACTGCCAGAGCAGAAACAATCCTCTGCATGTAAAAATGTGTCTTTCTCTGCTCATCTTACGGTTGTTTGAACGCCAGTGTCTGGGATGTTGCAGCGGACTGCTACATCCTGAGTGTGTTTGCAGGTGTAAAGTGGTACTGGTTTATAGGAGCAATCCATGATAGACCTCTCCCTGCCTGTGCACTGGACGCTGTTCATGTGGATAGGACCAGTACCTGAGGAGGGACAACAGAGAGACAGCTGAGGTATAACAGAAATAGATTTATAGAAAGCATACATTTATTGACCAAGAGAAGTAGTTTCAAATGCATAACCTACAGTATGCTGCTGAAGTGTAAAAGAAACTTCAATCTTTGAGGAGGGAGAAATCTAAAATAATGTGGCTGCATTAAGCTAATATATTTTGGACATATTTTTTGCTGTTTTGATGATGTGTAACGTTGTCTTGTCCCCAACTAACCATTTAAAATGACTGCAAACTGCTTGCCTCACCAGTTAGTATCAATATTATCTCTGCATAGTTTTAGAGGGATGTCCTGTTGTTGGTGTGGTGCCATATCTTCCTAAATTAATGCTGACTTTCTTCCATTGGGCCCTGATTCCTCCTGGTTCATACTTTTCTAGTAGGAAATCTATTATGGTGCTTTGATGCTCTCTGTATACTATTTTTTGCCTCTGAAATGATTTCAGAAAAAACTGGGAAACAGCACTACCTTTAACAGCTGACATTTATATGTGGTGAATCAGAGGCACGTTAAGTGATGGTACATTAACTCCTATTAAGCAGTTATTTAAATGTATGGTTTAGTCTGAAAATAACCATATCCCTGCTTATAAGAGCATTTGTATACTTATGAAAGATTTTTCTTTGCATTTATTTTCAGTGTGGTCTTCATCACAGTTGTACGTGGGATTTAGGTCACATAAAAAGTGGAACAACTTCTAGAGTTCTTTATATTGTTCTCATTTATTTACATCAAAGTAATCTTTCATCCTTAATAGGGTCTGCAGACTTTTCAAATCTATCGTACTTCTTCAAATAAGAGAAGTTTAGCATTTTAAGTACTGTAGCTGCTTTTAAGCCTCGGTATTTCCTATGGGACATTCACCCTAACTGCAGAAGTAGGGATAATGTAAATTATAGCAGGAAACTTATTCAAACAAACATTTAAACAAATTTGCATGTTTACCAAAACAAGCCAAAATGAGGCCTTGTTGGGCTTCTCTATAAATCTTGGATCTTAACGCTAATTCAGACATTTTAAAATCAGAAAGCCTCCTGAATGGGAAGTGAAACATCTTCAAACTTGGAAAACAAAGTCCAGTGTTTTTTTTTTTTATTGTTTTTTTTTACTTTTTTGGAATGACTATAGCCTGGATGACTAAGGATCTCCACCAGCATTTTAAAGAAATGAAAATTGATTAAAAAGGAAACTAAATGACATGCAGTTATATAACTATAAATGATGTAAGGGGATAATCAGTTAATAAAAGGTCTCAAATTTAGATCTCTTCATGACCTCATACAGCCTTGAACAGGCTATATACAAGCACACACAAGACTGAAGTTTCTCGGCAAACACTCATGTTTGTGTAGTTTTTTAAGGCCCAGACAGGAGCCATTTACAGACTAATACAAGGCATATTTTACAGTTATAAAACCTAGACTGAATGCTGTTAACACTTTACCTGTTTATTTTTGGTATCATAAATGAGACATCAGGCATTTGCGGTCTTGTACTTAAAACATGCATTTTGTATGCATTAAAAACATTACAGAATGCCCAAATCAGAACAGGAAAATGTTTTCCTGCAAAGTAGTCTTTTACAAGAACGACAAAAACGTTTGAGTGACGAGGTGCTAAACATACAGCTGATGTAAATAAATATGAGAATATAAAATAGTAATAAAAAAACATACAAAGTTGGATTACGGATAGTGCAGCTATCCGTAATCCCACCTTGGAAGGCAATGTATCTGCTTATTTTTTGATTACGAGATATAATAATAGCTATAAAAGATTTATTTCACACAGATGATCCAATAATGAGGATACAGAGACAATATTAGAGTGAATGTTATGATCAATGGAAATGAAAGAGATCCCCAAAGTAGTACATCTTTAGTGGTCCACAAAACCTTGGACATGCTACATAAATGATTCTAAAATGGCTCTGCAAACGGAAATCTCCATTAAAAGCCCAGATGTGTTCTGGACTTCTAATGTGGCTTGGAAACGTAGAACTCCCTGCATCTCAATACTAAAATAGATCCCAAATTGCTAGAAAAGGGCAAAATCTGTTAGCACCTCTGTGTTTGCATAGGTATTTGAGGCCCAGGCAGGAGCCCTTTAAAGCCCTATAATTAGGCTTTAAAAAGCTGATGATGTCATCAAGTGTACAGCGTCAGGTTGTCTGCTGACTACACAGCCATCTTTACGTTTACTCCTGCATTTAGAAAAATATCCTTAAAGATTACAATACCATTGCTCCATTCTAAAAACCTGATTATTTACCCTAGTTAATTTAATAAAGAATTTAGAGCAGCAAACAGACACTTTCCATGAATTATTCAATCAAGTAAAGTAGAGAGAAGAAAATACACCCAGATCATTAAAGAGTGGGTTAAGAGCTCATTTGGGCAGAAGGATAATGGGAGGAAATGAATGTGATTACAGACTGACTGCTGAGGTATGGCGAGAAGAACCATGACAAGTGAATGTGAGAAAGTGGGGTCTCACTGCTGTTTGTAGGAAAATATTCAAACTCTTCAACCGCTGACTTACAGAGGGTGCATTCTCTCACCCACAACAAAAGCTCAACCCAAAACAATTACATCTGAATGTTTGCTCCTGTTTGGCACTGATTGCCTGACATTCTTGTGTCAAAGCTGAGCAAACTTTTCTCAACCATCAAGTTTATTTTGACAACAATACATGCCGTTCTTTAGCTCGCCTGACCCTCCTAGCTTAGTTTACACTTTATATAATTGGTCATGGGGAGAGTTCCTCAACAGTCTGCAGGGATCAGGCTGTAATCATTCTTGCTGCGTTTATTTGTCTGAAAAAGTGAATTGAGATGTAGAAGCAGCTTCAGATTTGGTCGGTTAAACTGGGACGCTTTTAGTCTATTACAGTTATACTATTACTGCTATGGATACAGAAATAATGTCCGGGATTTTTGGCCATTTTGTAAAAAGCTGAGCTTTAGCTATCTCTTATTATGGAACCTGACTTCAAATAATATGACCTAATAGTGAATATTATGAGAGTAAAATACAGAAACTAAAAGAGAAATTCCAGATTTTCCTCTTTATCTTACCTTGTCCAAGTCGAGCGTTAATAAGAGCCTCTTTAGCGGACCCAAAACCCAGCTCTCTGCAGACCACACTGGCTGCATTCAGGTCCCAGAGGTGATCACACACCGTCCCCCATTTTCCCTCTTTCATGACCTCAACACGGCCCTCTCCGAGACGAGGCCCAGCCTTCAGGCGGACAACAGGCTAAAAGGAATATTTTTAAAATTAGATCTTCATAAAGTAGAGCTTTCAAATATTGCAATTTATTTATTTTCCTATCTGCTGTAGATAAAACTATTTTGTTAGCTATGGTCATTTAACAAAATGTATTGTTTCATGAATGATCTTTTTGGAGAAAAAAATTGACCATCGATTTGTTTGAGTAGCATTATACTTTTTTATTAAGTTAGTGGAGATTAATAATAGGCACATATAAAAAAAAAATATTGAGCAAATTAGGAAAACGAAATCTAATAAAATGTTTTAAAAGTAAAGGAATTGCTGATTGGATATAGTTGAACAGGGAAGCTAATCATTCAGGTTTAGTGAAGTGACCAAGATATTTAAAATTATCAGTGTATATTGCCTTTTATTTTAAATCTAAAAGGTAAACTTTGTTAGTGTAAAAAAATAGGGAGAAATTGCTTAAAACTATTCAATAGTTTAAAACTATTCAAAAATAACCTTAGTAGGAATACAGCCATTTTCCCAAATGTACTTGTTTATAAATGTTTGTGAAACTGATGAGCTTTGCAGATGGCAAAAATGTCTCACTGTGAGGGTTAAGTTTAAGATGTTTTATATATATTTATATATGTTCTTTACACTTACCGCAACCGGAGGTGGAGCAGGAGCTCTGCCGTTTCGGGTGAACTGGTATCCAGGGACGCAGCGGACCACTGCGTGCATGCCCCCCCTGCATGGAACATCACTCCTGGGGAGGGACAGCTGTGCAGGACACTGCGCTAAGGACACCTCCATACCCTGACACTGCACCCTCTCCACCCAGTAAGCCTTCTTACTGATCTGGGATCTTAGCCTGGGAAAGACATTAAGCACATCACAACTTCATTCAAGTTAAATATAAAGATTAATTATAATGTAATCATTTTAAAGTTGACTTTACCTTAATGAAGAATCAGCTAACTTAGAGTCCCAAAGTTTCCTAAAGGGCACAGAGGGGTATTTTCATTAGATGGAACTAAAACTGTGTGGCTTCAAATTAAACAGACCAAAGAAACCCATATTCTCTATTTTTTTTAGTCATGCTTGACTCCATTCCTTCCTTGGGAAAATGTAATGTTAGAAACAGAAAGGAAGGTTTCAAATACCATGAAAACAGTATTTCCCTTTCATCTCTCTTTATTTCTTTTGATTTTCAAACCTTTTGTGTTTATTTGTATTTCAATTTTACTGTTAGTATATTTCTACAGTACATTTCTGGTTTTAAGGCAACCATGTAAAAAAAAAAAAAATCATGAACAGAGTAAAATGGTACACCATATAGGGCTGTTAAAATTGTGTAAATCCATCCACTGCATGTCAGTTTTCTGCAAAGGGGCCAAATCTAACAGGATTCTTTAAACTGTCTGGTTTCATTTGTATTTATTTCAGCAAGAGCCCCATCCACCAGGGGAAGAAGTGTGGATAAACAAAACAAGGCCCCCGTCAGTCTGGACGTGCTCCCGTGCACAAAAACACTAGAGCCGACCGCTTGGATCAGCCAGCATGACCACAGACAGGTGCTGTGTGACTGTTGCTCTGTATGAATGAACAGTCAGAAAGCTGAATTTAAAACTAGATCCATTATGCAATTGAATATTTAGCAGCTTAAAAAAAAAGACATCTCCTCTCCAGGAAAACCCAAGCATCCCAGTGTTTCCCTAATTTGTTCCCCCCAAAATGTTTGAGGGTGGGTGGGTTTATAGAAATAAAAAGCTGTGAATCCCAAACCACAGAAACTTCTATTTTGAAAGTTTGGTTTTGTGTGGATTGTATCCAAACCTAAAAATATATTTTCTATGTCATGGTCTGTTGTACACTTAAGTGAAATCATTAGTTACTCTCGCTAAAATTTAGAACCCCCCCAAATAAAAATCAGTAAAATCTTAATCTGCATTAATATGACAAATTGTAGCACCCTGTAGTAAGAAGATGGAATGTACACATTCGGATGCTCACTGTTTAGAGATTCTCTAACACAAATCAATAGCCAATCTGTCTGGGATAACAAAAAGAACATTTTCAATGCACTTGGTGGGATTAGGAATGAATTGTCCAACACCAAAAACACAGTTTGTAAGCAAGTTTTTACATGTGAAACATATACGTTAGTAGTGGCAACAAAAAGTCAGTCGCCGTAACTCTCCTCCCATCCAGGAAACTCCTGCCTATTTCTCTCTCAATATGATGACTTCTGAGGAAAAGCCTAATGGATTTAATGTCATTAAACAGCACCATTCAAATGTATCCTTGAAACCCTGCATTTGGGAAAATAAACTTAGCTCTTTTCATCATTGTTTTCTTATACATACTTTTTCACAATTAAATTGTTTATATCTATGGTTGGATTCCTTAGCGATATACAGACATGGTACTAGTTATAAATCTAAAAGCTAAGCTCTGAACTAGATGCTTACACCTATTTCTGAAATTAGGTCCAAAATTGGCTTCTTAAGAGCTATTGTTTTTAATAGGACCTTAAAGGCTTTGTTGGTATTTTAAGATGTTTGTACTGCAGCTGAGCCTATCGAATTGTGGGTGGATCTTAGACTGTCATAAAATGACAATCAAAGACAAAAATGAGTCAAGCCTACATTTTAGTTGTGTGTTACAGCATCTGTTTGCAAGTGATTATGTGAGAGAACCATATCTGTGTGTGCGTGTTTGGGTGAGTGTGTACTCGCACCATTTAAAGCCTTACACAACATGGCAGTAAATCAAAATGAGAGAGACAGACTGTGTGGGGGAGTTGGTTCATGGTTTGGAGGCAGGGGAAGAGGGGTGAGAGCGCTACCCATATAATTGCCTGCTCTGCTTGGCAGTGTCTGCCTTGTGGTCCAGCAGTAGCATGTTGGTTCACACACAGCAGACAGGGAAATATGCACGTACATATCGACTCCCCCTGGCTTGTCTTCTTGTAAACAAAGCTCTTTAAAGCCAATGCCATTACAAAACGTTATGAGAGCATGCTGGGAAACGCTGCACAAGTGATGTAAGGCTGAAGTCTCCAGCTTTTATTAGAATGGTCTATCTTTGTTGGAAAGGGAAAATTATTCTATTTTGGTTTTTAGATGTATGTCACCTTCTGAGAACCAGGCGATGGTGGGGCACTCTTTGGTGGGCTGGGAAAAGCCTGAAACTGGATTTGTCTTGCTGTTTTAGTATTTCAGTTTGTGGACAACAGTTATGAGCTATGCAAAGGTCCAGAACACTAAGTTGACTGGGAAGCAGTCTTTTTTTATATGATCTTCAGCTCAGTGGGATTTTTAATGCAAGTCAACAGTGCAATATGAGAAACCACATTGGAAAGAGCTGACTCTCAAGAAGTTGAAGATAACCTGTTATTACAAACCTCTGCTCATTTTCAGACCTGCTTCAATGGGACAATCAGGCTGCATGGGAACAAAGGAGAGCTCCGTTCTCTCTTCCACCATCCTTTCTAGAAGGAAGGAAACTCACAGGGGTCCCAGTGATGCTCTTTCCATAAGAAGATGGTTTTTAAGTAAAAGTACCGCAAAGGCATTAAACACTGCTTTTAAAAAGCGTTAAATGGAACTGGAGAAACCGATGAAGTTACTGTCAGCTTCAAAGAGACTTAGAATGAAACAATAGAGCTGGGAAATGAATTAATTGCTTGGTTTTTGAATGCACAGCAAAGAGGGGGAGTAAAACATCTGCAAAAATGAGGAAATATAACAAAGACAAAGGGATCCATTACAAAAAGAACAAAAAGGCAGACAGGAAATTGCTGAGTACACAGAGTATTCAGCAGATTCAGCTGAATGAATTAAACAGTTTATGTTGTTGATATACACTGATCTGAAACGTTCCTATTAGTGATAAATTAGTTTTGTGGGTGTTTTTAAGTACTCTTTGTCCTTGGGAAAGAAATCATATTGACTGCTTTCTGTCTGTGACTTTAGGTCAAATAAAGGGTGATAAACAAGCATGCACTAACAAACTGCTTCCCTGCCTTTTGAAAGCTAAATTCGGTAAATTACCGTTCAGCTGACCAAAGCTGTAACCATAAACCATAATCGCTTTTAAGGTTCCTGTCTTGACTTGCAAAGGCTCCTTACAAGAAGTCTGATACTTTTTCATATTTTCAGGTAAAATGACCAAACTTGTAGAATATTTTTTTTAAATCCAATGTTAAACTAACATACAGAAGCACCAAAACAAACTGGAGTATAATTATCAAGCTGAAGAAAAATAGGAGAAATAAAAACCTGAAATATTTGGTGTACATTTGTATTTACCTATCATATTTTTCAAACTTTAACTATATTATAATGCATTGCTTTTATCAAAGACAAAGTGGTATTTAACTTGATTCATGCATCGCTGAGTTCTGCTGTCTGAGCAGCAGAAAACCTGTGAAAATTAGCGGCTAGCAGCCATCATAAGAAGGCGGGCTGTAGGAAGGAGCTGCCAAAACTGGGCTGCACAGGCACTGTAAAAAAAAACAACCCGGTTTCACAAATTAAGGAGCAGCGATGAGATACAGTGTAATTATTCTGGCTCATAATTAAGACAAGGTGGCTCTTTTGGCAGTTAATCTGCACAGGGATGTAACCTCTGTTTTAGCCAATGTCTAGGTCAATAAAATCAGTTTTTGGGCCATTAGAGGTATTAGACTTTGTCCAGCCTCAGGAGTATGTCATAAAATGGATGGCATCCAGAAAAGTGGCTTTATATTTATGGTAAGATTTTTTCATGGGTTTAGAAGAAAACAGCTATATTTCATAAAAAATAAAAATAAATCCCATGTAGCTCTTGACTACATTGTTTCTTATGTATTAGCTTAAATGGGAATTGGAGGGCTTGAAAAAGTTTGATAAAGGACCTTTAAAGTGGCGAATATTTTTTTTATAATCTTTGGAAAATACCTCAGCCTCAGCCAAATTTGACACAGAGCACCTCTGAACATCAGTTTCCTAGTCTTGCTACAGATTCTGAGTTGGACTGACAAACAGTTGTCCTCTACTCAGAGCATACCATCTATGGAGCTCTGCTGTTCCTCCAGAGGTACCATGGGGAATTTGGATGCTAATCTACAGTAATTAATGCTCTCATTGTCTAAACTATGGATCCTCTAATATAAGAGCAATGAGAGCCAAGCATGGCTGATTCAACTCCATGGCAGTTGTGCTATAACCGATACATTTTCAGACAATTAAATAATTAAAGATATAGTGGAGGATCTTCACAAACTTTTGAAAAGACCCACCCGCTCCGATAAAAAAAAAGGCACATGCATAACCCTGTACCCGCTCACGAGAGGGAACGCCTAATAAATTCACGTGAGAGCGTGCACGAGCCCATTTCTCCTCGTGCTCACTCTATTTAAAAGTTTCCATTTGTATTGCTCATAAAAGCTTTCTTTCCAAAAGAAGATTTGCAATTTTTCCACTATATCAGACCCTCCACCGGTAAGTGAAAATGGAGACGAGCACACAGGACGACCTTACGTAAACATGAGAAACACCAAAATGATTGACAGTTAGGACGACCACTAATTTTGATGATCCACCCGAAAAGAGAACATCCTTCACTGTACCTTTAATGCTCAAATTTATTCATACTTGTAAAAATTATTTGTATACAACCATGAAGTTGGTTTCTGATCAGATAGCCAGACATCTGTAGAGATTCACAAATGGATTCAGAGCTTTCATAATTTTAATTGAATTTCATGCTCTGGTCCAATGCAAAGCTTTTAGTTACATACTTCCTAACAAGTATGATGCAATCAGTAAACTTTTAATGTGGTTTCCTTCATATATTACTGTTTGAGAGGGATCTCTTACAGCACTTCAAAGAAACTCAACTCTGAAAAACGACGTCAGCCCCAGACTGAAGAAAGATGTTTGTCCTTCATCAGTAACAAAATTGACAGCTTTTAAGATCACAGTAATATTTCACTTTGTTAATCTAGAAAAGCCTTCTTTAAGACTGAGGAATGTACAAAAAAAATGTGTTAGTTAAGGTAGAAGGAAAGAGACCATCTAAGCCGCTATTCAGTCCAAGTATCTGATCAACCGGATGCTTCTTTTTCCTCTTTCCTGATGAAAAAAAAAACGGAAAAAAAAATCTTTTTAACCCTCCTCGTGTATTTACTGTTGGATAAAAATATTTGCTCCAGTCATTTCCCCAGTGGGGTGGAGGATGAGAAGAAACAAACAGGATTCTGCCCAGTTTTTATACAAGCTGCTAGATTGGCTTTTGGCACAAATCTGTAATGTTTCTCTGGGTGATTATGAGGAATTTCTCAAAGCTGATGTTGGTTATGAAACCATGTGGTTTAGTTTAATAGAAAACAAAACAGAGCCATAAGTAATATTCCCACTAATTTACCTACAAGCTGCCAAGTAAAGCAAATAGAAAAACAACCTTGAATAAAACAGAAATATTTCTTCTCACAACACTCCATCCTCATCTGTTTGTTTGTTTAGCTTTTTTTTTTTTTTTTAACCAAATAGGATCCATTGGGATGAAACATGTCTTCTTCCAAAGAATCCTGACCAAGATGGCAGCACAGATACAAACAACCAGCTTTATGAAACACTTTATGGGTTTTTTTATGGGGCAGCTGAGGAGAAGCAGCTTGTTTTCTGCTACTCAGGACACAGGGGGTAATTATTGGCCTCTCACACGGAGAGACAGATGGTACTTTGCAGACCGGCGGTCAGTGCAGTCCTGCTGTTAGCCGAGCCCTAAAAAGACCTCTGTGGGCAGACAGATCATGGAGGGCTGTATTTGCTTCAGTGCAAGTTTGTGTGCATTTGCATGCAAATTTGTGTGCATACAGGGAGTCAGTCCTGGAAATAGTTGGGGATGTCTTAACATGAGGGTGTAAGAAAGGTGTTGAGGTTTTTTAATGTATTTTCTTAAGGGCTTTGGAAGTTTGTGTAGGTGCATCTGTGCGTATTTTATGCTTAGAATCAGACAGATTAAAAAGAGTTTTACACAGAAAAATATTGACATCCCCGTTCTGTGCTATTAGTGGAGCAAATAATTTTGGTTGGAGGGATTATAGCAGAGTTATGAACTTTAAAGGCCGGCCACTTCAAGCCTCTTAGTATGTGCTGAAGCTTCTGGTGTTTACACAAAAGCATTGTTAAATTTGTTGAATATATGTGTTTAAAGGCTTAAGGGGTGCAGAATATTCAAAAATAGGTAATTAGAAAATATTGTGGGGAAAGGAAATATTTCTGCTACATTACTTGCTCTACAAGGGGTTTTTGGGGCCAAGAATAACTGAATGATATTAGAATTTTAATTTTAGATTTTAATTTAATTAAATTTTGATCTAAGAAAAGCTTACTGTTTTATATTTTACAATGTTATTATGAGTTATTTATGTTAGTAATGGTGAGATATTGGTTTGAGGACCTGATTTTCATATCTTAGGCATGAATAAGATTAAAACTTTTCATGGTTTATGTTATTTAAATAAATATGGTAGATGTTTAATTCAATTTTTTCTTTATAAACCAGTAGTTCTCCAACCTGCTTCTCAAGTACAACTGTCCTGCATGTTTAAATGTCTCTTTCTTCCAGCCACCTGATTAAAATAATTGAATGACCTCTTTGGCAGCCTCCAAGTGCTGCGTAAGCTTGTTAATCATTCATTTGCATGTAAATCAGATGCATGGTGGTGAGGAGAAATGTAAAGATGCAGGGCACTGGTAGTTGAGAACCAGGTATGAGAACCACAAATCTAAAACATTCTTTAATTTCGAACCTATCTGATCAGAGCATCTCTTATTAATGTTTCCTGTTTACTCTACATGGCTTGTAACTAACAACAAATAGTAGTTTTAAAGTGGATTTGTTATAGTTGCTGTTTCCAACAAATTCTCCTCATCTGACCTGTAATTCCCCGGATCTCCTCCAGGGTTTTTAGGTGCCACTTGGCTACTTCTCTGAGTAATATTGTTGGGCCTCCACAAACATGTTTAGACTGATGGCCATGTCTTGGGCTTAATCTGAATACTTCAAGTTGTTGCTCCTACTTCTGTCTTTAGCTCCTATCTCTTCACCTTTGAGGGGACAGATGTTTGATGCTTTTTAATTTGAACTTTGATAAGGTCACAGTTGCCCCACACTTTTTCCATTTTCAGGTCAGGAGTTATACAGTGCTTTATGGAAATGTTTTATGACCTCAGCCTGCTTTAAACCTGTCCATCATCCCTGACCTGTCTGCTGTCTTCCTTGGCCTTCCTGATTTTGTTTGAAAGCTAATATACTCGAACAACCTTCACTAAATAGCTTTTTTAAAAGGGATTAAATCACACATTAGAACTACTACCAGAACGCAGAGGAGGTGGATCTTATCTGGCATCACATAATCTGACATGCATCATCATGCCACTTGCCTCTGTTAAAGTCAAAGACAATGGGGACAAACAAAAATGGGCGGCGCAGAGTTCCATGGTGAAAACCAAAACAAAATGTAATACAAAGGCCTATCTCACATTGTCAAAATAAATAAAAAAAAATAAGATAATGACTCCCTGAGACTCTTCAGAAAAAAAATCAGCATAATCTGCACTAATTAAACAAAAGTAGAACTTTTTGGAGCATGTATCAATGGCCGGAGAAAGATCTTTACTTGATATATGATGGTGGTATTGAAAATAAGCTGCTTAGCTTATTTAGGTCCTGGATGACTGATCATAATAAATGGAGCAGTGAGTTCTGTTTTCTTGTAGAAAATCTTAAAGCAAAATGTGTGGCCAGTTCTTTGTGATTTTAATTCAAGTACACTTTGATTTCACAGCTGCAGAGGAATGTGAAGCACATGTGAAAGTTCTGTTGAATGGATCAAAAACAGCTATAAATAAATAAGTAAAACTTAAGAAAAAATAAAGTTTTTAATTGGGTCACACCCATCAGTCTGCACTAAATGAGTCTTAATTTATACAAAGGGATTTAAAAGACTAATTTTCAATTATCAACAACACTTGATTTTGGCTAATTGCTGCTGCTAAGTTTCCTTTAATGAGGTTTTTGATTAAATAACTTTTTAACAATGAACAGGCCTGCTGTTGATACATTATTTTTAATTAATAAATTAAATCATGGTTTGTGTCATGTTATATTTAACTGATGCTGAAATGTGTTTGATGCTTTAAACCATTTAAGGCTAACAGAAAAGACGTAAAAGGTTTTACTAAGCACTGCATATATAAAGACATATGAGCATTATAATTTTGTTGTCTGACCCTGACATTAATTATATGCTTTAAAGAACTATTTTCAAGGTCTGAGATGAGGCCCACTCAGTTGATGAAGGAGGCAGACCTGTCGGACAACTGGACCTGAGTAATGTCATTGTGAATGATAGGGCCAAGTGTGGTTGGACTAATGACAGCTGCCTCTGTAGCATCAAACCACACATGGAGAGTAACCTGTGTAGTGATGTAAGACCCCATTCACCTTTTATTTCCTTAAAAAAACACATTTAGGAAACAAAAGGAGCTGCTACTGCTTCTTTCCATGACCTCCTCACTTCTCTGTCGTCTGCCAGGTCACACATTCTTACCTGTAAGCATTTTGGTCAAAGGGCTCTGCTGCCGGAAACCCCAACATGCCACACACGACACGACTGCTGCTCAAGTCCCATCCCTTGTTGCACACGTGACGCCACTTCCCAGCATACTTCACTTCCAGGACTCCTTCAGTCACCAGACCACCACGGTTGCTGGATAGCACAGGCCGAAGCCGGGCCTCCTCCAGGGAAACGCTTCCAGATCCCTGTGTGTTTATAAAAGAGATAAGTAGATACTTATTTTACATCGCCATGGATTTCTTTCTCTCTCTTTTTATTGCTTTAAACTAATCTCCTAATAAAGAAACTTTTGGTGGAGCCCCATGATGAGGTAATAAAACCGGCTTCCCCTCTCACGCAAACCACCGTGGCTTTGTTTGAGTAAATTGCTGCGGACAGCATGCAAGCGAGGCTATAACAAAAAAAAGATAACATGCTTTAATCATCACCCTCTCTAATCATGCACAAGCTGGGCTCTGGGCAGCAGGAAGGAAACTAACAGTAAAGGCAGAGTTTGGTAAATGTGTCAGGATGCTTACAAACGAGTGAGAAAATGTCATGTCTGCAAGTGGAAAGGAGGAAGAGAAAAGCAAGCATGAGTGACAGATGGCTCAATTTCCTCTGATCCAAGATGTTTCCTTTAGAAGATGAGCCACCGGTGGTTAGGCTAAACTTCAGAACATCTTGGTGCTCAAGTCTCGGATTTGAAGCAGCTTGAGGTTTTAGGTACGTCTCTAATTATATATATGCTTGCTAGCCTGTGGCATTGCAAATAGTATTTCAGTTCAAATCTGTACCAAAGCAGACTGGGTGTGTTTCATGGTTGTGTGTGTTTTCACCTGTGTGTATTGTGCATCTGTCTCCAGATCCACATCTGGATAAACTAGGTCTGGTTCTACATGGTTTCCGGTAGGTTGCTGATGCCTGTCGCTCCTCCTCTCAGAGTGGATCTGGGCAGGGGACTGAGGTTGGGGCTGGCTGTTCACCTGCGATACAGACTCCTGCCTCTCAGCCTGTGAACTACTCCTCGACGTTTCCTGCCTCTGCCTGTAGGCGTCACCATTCACCAGGCGTGAGGGCAGCTGATGGCCTCGCGGCAATGCAGGGCTGGCTCCTTGGTTTCCTCTTGAACCACCTCGATTTCGTCTCGAGATCTGGATCTCATGGCCATTTTCCCGTGGAGAGACACCTCCGCGACGGGCAGGGGAAGTGTTGCGATGGAGGGCTATCTCATGGCCTCTTGCTGAGTAAGATGGAGGGTTTGCTGGGGACACAGGCTGTGTTTGAGGTGATGCTGGGTTTCTTTGTCTCTGCTGCCTTGGCTGCTGACCTGATGATGATGGGGTCTCCTCTAAAGTGACAGGGGGGAAGCCAGGTCTTCTTTCTGGGCTGCAAATGACACCCAGGTCCTCAGCGTGGGTGCAGTCATTGATGCCCCAACCGCTGAACTGACACTGTGCAACAGAGACCTCTGAGCCCTGACACCGCACATTGTCTAACCAGATCTGACCTATAAAACAAAGCACAGAAAGTAATCAAAGTGCTTGGCTACAACTTTACATATGCAACACTTTTTTGGAACACTGTTAAAAAGTAAGATTCTAAAGTGCATGAAAAACAACTCATGGTTTTCAGGACTTTTTTTTTTACTGATGATTAAAAAAACAAAAACATCTGCAACCACATGAGGTTGTCTAGATAGCACAAAGAGGCCACCAGTGTGGAATTCAGTCTCAAATTGCATCAAAATCCATTTTATTTTTCAAGGCCTCTGAGGTATGAAAGGGAGCAGTGGAGAACAATTTCATGAAGAACATGAGACATAACACACAGGTTGGGAAGACATTTGTACAGTAGATGTATTTAAAGCAGGGCTGGGTTATAAAAAAAATGGCAGTTCAATTAGACACTGATCAATCTGTATTCTGAAAATGGAAAGAGTATGGCATAACTTAAAACCTGCCTAAGGTAAAAAGTAGAACATTAATCTAAGAAGATTTCGAAAAAAGAAGAAAGCCATTGATAAAAGAAAAGCAGAAGGAATATTTGGATGATCCTGAACCACCAGCCAGCTTGGTATACTTTTACAATGGAAGGATCAAAATGCACAAAAGTCCAACACTTCATCCAATTAGAATTAAGTTTAAGATTACAAAAATAATTATTTCAAAGTGTATCTAGGTGACCAAATGCTCATAGAGACACACAAATTACTCCAATATTTTCAGTCCTACCATGTGTCATTTTTCTTTCACCCAACAAATTTCCTTTTTTTTTAAACAGACATAAAAACAGAATGAAATCCATTTAAATCTATAGTTATTAAGTGACATCTATGTATTTGCTTCTAAATACTTTTGAAATCAATGCTTATGAACAATTTCTTATTGGCTCTACCTTGCCCTTGGCCAAACTTGGCACTGTGTGCCCAGGTGAAGCTGCGCTCGAAGCCTAGCTGCCGACACAGCACGTTGGCAAGTTTAATGTCCACCTCGTCGTCGCACACAGTGCCCCACACGCCGTTGTAGAACACCTCCACACGTCCCTCATTTGCATTTCTCCGACCCACGCCTGCAAGACGTATCAGCACATCCTGCGCATACAGCTGTGGAGGATGGAGGAGAAGCAGGACAAGGAGGATGCAGAGGGAGCTGAGAGACAGCATGCTGGCTGTAGAGACAGAGAGACAGAGTCAGGTGTGAAGGAGGGCTGATGGAAGTGTGCAAATAAAAAAAGCTGGGGACCCCAAATAAAAATGAATAAGTAACCACAAAAATCCTGAAATCATGCACAGACATGGAGCTCACATTCCACACCCTGCAAGCATATAATTAGAAACTTTTCTCAAAACCTTGATGAGATGCTCCACAGTAAGTTGAAAGATTTATAGATTGTGGTTTTTTTCCTTTATTTAAAATAATCGGTCATTTGAAGGACAGAAGCTCTGAGAGGCAGTCTGGACCAGTCAGGGTGTAGGGTGTAATAACCAAAGCTAAAAGTAGTCTCTTCATCCAGCCAACGGAAATTCTGGCTTGCCACAAACCCTCCAGTTTAGCTGCTCGTATTTAGCCAACAGACACAAAAGCAAATAAATACTGTCATAAAGATTTTTTTTTTTTGTCACACACTATAATAAAACTAAAAACATGCAGCCTATAAAGAAATGCTTTGGTTAATTAGAAATTATGTACTTAATGATGCTCTACCTTGAATGATATAAGGACAAAAACTGGAAAAAAAAAAGAAATGAATGACTAATGAGACTCTAAAATGCATCTGATTAAATGCATCAGTTAATTGTTATTTATATATTTTTTATGCAAAACTGCAGAAATAAAATCTAGTCCAAATTTATGAAGAGAAGGGTAGTTAAAAAGCTGTCATTAAATCACTTAAACAGATCCAAATCAATAAAGCTAAAAACATTCAACCTTTATAACTTTAAAGGTTAGATTAGACAAAAGTAGAAGTAAAGACAATAAAGTGCACCATGCTGAGGTGTAACTCACCTATCTGTAGATCTCACCCTGGAGTCACTGGGAGAAAGAAGGGAGAGAAAACTGGGACTTTGGTCCTGCTTGTCTTACTGTTCTTCTCTTTCCCTCCCTCTTTCTTTTTCTGTCACTCCCTCAGATCTTGTAACTTCATCAATCCCTCCTATTTTTATTCATTTAAACAGTTCTGCCCCCTCATCTTTGCACTGCAGTCACGTTTCTCCTTTCCATTGTACACTGCCCTTTAGAGGAAAATCTGTAAAATAGAAAATAACCATTAACTTAAAAAAAAAAACATAAATATGCACAGGGAGTATTTTTTTAATCAAAAATAATTGTACAATAATTAAATAATGCTAGTATATTTACATCATTTGAATAAAGTTTTACACCAGCCACCTGTGAGTTGGTCACATGGCTGGAAATGTACATGTGAAGCAAATCTATAAAAGACTACACTTTTTGTTTTATTCCTTTATTGAAATATTTCACCACCTTTTCTAAGCCATGGTCAGTCTTAGTCTAAATAAACTTTTAAAGTTTTTACCACTGAGCCTCTTCAGCTCTTTAATCAATTCCAAACCAGTGCATCCATACGCACATATATCCACCGTTATAAATTGTGCTCACTGTAGGGGATGTCGTAAGATGTGCTAAGCACAAACCCAGTGACTGCCCGGTACATGTGTGCATAAAACGGAGTTTCATAACATCCTCAGTCGTGGCACCTCCTGACTTGCAGCAAAACCTTTCTAAGAATAGAGAAACTTTCTTCAGGATTTCTTCCACTGGGATATATAATCAGTGCTTCTATGTGTTAAGTATTACCTTCAGACTAAAAGTTAATTCAGTTCTAATCTATTTTCAACCTGCGAACAAAACATAAATTGATGATTTTTCAGCCCCAACTGTAGATTAGCAGAATTCTAGAAGTAGCAGTTGTATTGTATTATTAAATTGTATTAGTAATGTATTATTAAAGTTAGATTCCCTGAAAGACACTGAAATCATTTTGATCAAATAGAAAAATCTTTCTGTCCAATGTTACAGTTATGTTTGTTTTTAGATTTAGACAGTTCTTCTCAATTTTATGGTATCTTGAAAGATGAGGAAAAGATGACCACGTTGAGGAAGAGAAGCAACATTGAAGCTGAAGATCTCCCTCTAGTGGAGTAAAAGATTTCTGGGGCAATCATTAAGGGTTCTGTGCTGTTGGACTGAACCCTTCAAAGCCTTATCCACCAAAGATAATCAGAAAATTTTAATTTCTAAGAACTTTGCTGTTAATTTCACATGTCTTTTTTACAGTGGACACGTGAAAAGTGATTATCAGTGCAGTGCTTGCATCTCTGTCATTTTCTATCACACTACAGCTATGTCTTTCACAGGGTCATGTTTGAGTCTCTTCTGCAGAACATAGTGGTCACCAACACTTGATTTTGATCGTTCGTGCACTTGTGAGAGAATGCCTAGCGAAGCATGGGTTCTTCACAGTGCAATTGGACTATTTTTAGGTTTCAGCTTCAGCAGGTCACTTCTGTAGAAGTACGGATTCTTACTACTTACTGTTCTGTCACTTGATTTGCCATCATTTTTTATGTTGATGACATTTACAAAGTACTCCCTATTTCTCCTTTTTTTCCCCTCCAGTCTTCTTGACATATAAAGAACTGTTCAATACACCATGATTGTTGTTTAAGAATAATTTCTATTGTGAAAGAACATTTAACAGTAATTATTGATTAAACAAATGATGAGTGAATTGTGGCAGGTATAATATAAACTACTTTCCAAAATATGTTACATGACAGTTCAGTTTTAAATCACCCTATATATCTGTACTGCCAAATATGATACACAGTTTAACACAACTAGAATATGAGCAATCTATTTGGATGTAAATGTGTGTTTATTGTCTGAAAAGATAAAGCATTGATTTAAAACTAAGAAACTAACTGACTAACTTCTCAAAAATTTGGAAAACTTAAAAAAAAAAAAAAAGTTATCTCACAGGAGCAGGTATTTTGAAAATGGGGAAAATAAGCTGTCCATTGCCTACAATACAACAATAATCCAGAGGACAGAATACATGCAGGTACTATAATTATCCGGTCTGTTGCACACATTGACCAATAGTGGTATCCATGCACACAAATAGAAATTAAACTTCGCTTTCATGCCAGAGGAAAGCCCACTACAAAAAGTAATCCGAAAACCTGAAATACAGAAGTTTGCATACAAAACTCAAAATATATCATCTGTAAAAAAGAAATATAAAATGATGAAAAAAAAAAAAGTTTGGCAAAAACAAGAAGAAGGGAAATTTAGAAAACAAAGTTACCGTAAAAACCTGGGATTAAAATGTTTGTTAAGGTTTTATTAGGGATTTCTTTCCTTTCTTTTTAAATTTCAATGTACAAAATCTGTAAGGTTTGGTTGAGGTTTAAGAGGACCCAAATGCACAGACGGAAGCTAAAGTGGTTTCTTGCAGATATAATAATTCAAAACGGTGCAACTGCAGCTAAAAACCAAAGATAACAAAATACAGAAAACCAAAAACTAGAAGATGTCAGGGGAAACACATAATGAGGATCAAGAAACAAGGAACCCGCGAACAGTAACTGAAGAGGAGCTGTATAAATGGGAGAGATAGAACCAATTAGCAGATGAGGAACAGGTGTGGACAGAAGCAAGGAAAAGGAGACTGACATAGGACACAGAGGCTAAACAAGAAATATATAAGAACTCAAATACAACTGGAAGAACACAAAAATGGAAATAAAACCAATAATAACTCAAAGAGAAAACTTAAACAGAATCAAAACCATGACAAAATCTGTTTTTACATTTTAATATTTTTATTTTTTATATTTCACATCTTACAACATTTTTATTGATATGAATGAAATAAATCCTTTAGATGCTCGGGCCCCAGGAGAAGACTTTGATGTTCTGAACTGACATTTGCTTGAATGAGGACCTAGGAAAAAGATTAGAATAGTCTTCCCCCACAGGGCTTGGACACTGGTAGTGGATCAGCCAGAGGATAAGTGGGACTGAGAACAGCCTGAGAGTGACAGAGGTGGGAGGAGGGAGTCTTGGCCTGGAGGTAAATAAAGGAGATCTAGAAAGATGATTGGTCTCAGAGGAGGTGCAGCATCAAGTTGATTGGCTGAAGCTTGATTGAAGGATATCAGCCGGTTTGTTCAGGTGAGGCAGAGAAAAGTCTTCCAGATTTAGTTTTCACCTATGCTACACGTTAGCAAGATACCTTGCTGCTAACTAATGTCAATAAAGTGACTTGCAAAAGCCTCTACTGCGTAAGGTCGACTTTTTCATAACAAAAAAACTAAAATAATTTCTTCTCTGGCTACTTTAAAAAAAAAGTTGGTAATTAAGGCTGTTTTTCATTAAAGTTTAAATAACTGCGTGATGCAAAATGTACTGGATGATGCTATAAGGTAGACTTTCTGTTCTGCTTTGGCCAGTGATTAAATATAAATCCTGACTTAGAAAGAAGATAAAGATTAATAATTCATGTAAAGAAAAACATCTCTTCTGGAAGACTGTATTTTGTACTTCAATACCATGATAACAACATGTAGCAAAGTGGAGGAACGATCTGCAAGTAATAGCAGTTATGTTCAGTATCCTGATAGTGCTGAGATAGATGGGTATCGTTTACGGTGAGTCATGCACTTTTCCCTATCAATAAACAGCAAATTTATTTTACAGTTGATGTCCTTTTGAAGAGCCATCCTTGACTCTTCCAGATGGGAGAGAGAACCTCTGGCTTCACTCAGTTTCTTCTTCAGAGACTCCAAGGTAGCATCAATCAGCCTCACTTCTCCTTCCAAACTGCAGAAACAGATAAAATGAGGATATGGACACAGAGGAAAAGAATATAGAGGTCTTTGCTGTTGGTGTCCATCTACCTGAGCTGGGCTTGATCCCTGCAGAGTTCCATGGCTGGTCTGAGAGAGCGCAGATAAAGTCTGGACTGAACCACTCTCAGTGGTGCCTCTTTGTTGTGAATGGCCTGCTGGAGAGCTTCAATGTTCCTCTCCTGACCCCCAATCTGCTCCAATATCTACAAGAACAATAAAGCAATCAATTACATGTAACCAGCCAGTCAATTTCCTGTGTGTCTATTCATGTACCTGAGTTAGCTTCACTTCCAGCTGGGTCTTGGCCTCAATTAGTTCATCGCAGTGCAGGCTAAAGGCTCGATCCACATTGGAGCATTGAACGCTCAGATCCTCAGTGGTGTCCTGCAGCATTTGCTCCACAAGCATTCTGACACACAGAAGTACAGTCACTTTTCGTTTTTTCAACAGTGGATGGAAATCTGTGTGAACCAACGCAACTCTGACCTTAGACTGTTGGTGGCCTGTTCCTCCTGCAAGGCCTGAGACAGGTTGTCTTGAGTAAACTTTGTCCATGATGAGGGGTTAGACACCCTGAAATAAACCAAAAGAAACCTTGTGTTTGTTAAAGTTGGACATATCTTTGACATTTGGTCAGAGTTAGACTCACTGCTCCTGCATGGTGGCTGAGCTTTGGTGATTCTGTGTATCTGGACTCTTGTTACTATGTCTTCCACTGGTGTCGTCAAAGTTATAGGCCTGACATTTATCAGACCAATCCATCTCCAGTGTCTGCTGTGCGGATCTGTTCCTCCTGACTCACAGAAAACAATGCATTAAGCTTTTGCTCTTTAAAATCAATAGGCTGTGAACTAAGGAAGGAGCCAGTATACTCACTTGATCTGAGCAACAACCTGAGCTGCAGTTTTCTTCAGAAGAGCCTGAATGCTCTTGATCAAGTCCACCTCCTAAAAAAACACGTAAAGCAACATGTTCAACTTGCTCTTGTTGTGTTATTTCAGGATTTTCAGTAAGGATGTCCAAACCCAAACTGTTTTGTTCTGATGTGATACCAATATTAAAGCTTTAAGTATTGACCAATTCCGATGTTGACTTAAACTGATACCACAAATCATTCATACATTTATTACTCTTTTTGTATTTTGGGATCTTATAAAAAAGCTTGATCAAGAGATATAAATGAAAAAATTTATAACAGTCAATAATATCAGTTATGAGAACAACTGCCATGGATTACACATCAATTGGCTGCATAAACTCTAAACTGAAGCACAAATATGCAGTGTATCCCTATCAGTATGCTAATATTGGAAATGTTAGCTGCTTTCTGATATATTCTGATTTTGTTTTATGTTATCAGGCTGGTTTCTGATATCAGTATTGATCGGGACATCCCTGATTTCCAAGCTTAATTATTTAGAGAAACTTAGAGAAAGTTGTGAAGAAGTGGAAAGAAATAATTAACTAAATATTTTCAAGACAACAGATTATTTTATCAAAATATAAAAAGGGTTTAAGTAATTGAAGCCTTAAACTTTGGATTACTGTTTGAATTTTATTAAAAAAGTGAATAACCAAAACTTTATCCTAAAAAATATTGGGCTAACTAGGCCACTAGGAGCGCTGTAACTTCCAGGTTGTAAATACCTGATCCGTCCCAGAAGCACGATCCGTACCATCAGCTCATTAGTGCATGCGAAAACAGATAAACATTTTGGTCACCCTCAATTTTATGTAAAATAGTAAGCGTAGTAACTATAATGTGTTAAAGGTTAATAATGTATTTCTTGACATAATAAATGCCTTAAAACCCTTTCTGTTTTATCACACATCTGTGCCTGATCTGAACGGGATCTTACGCTACTTCCAGGAGCTAATTTTTTCAGCTTTGGATTTAAACATAAATCTAGTCTTTTTGACTTTTATGTTTTCCTTTCCTGTTAACATTATCATATATATTGTGACCTTAAGAACGAAACAGCTAAAATGCAGATAAATATGGCTTAATCATATTTTGCAGGACTACTCTGAACATGTCTGATGATGACGTCAGACAAGCAGTTTGACGAAGATGTAAAAATAATTAAAATTGTCTCAGAAAAGTAATAAAACATTTTTAAAGATGCATACTAGCATTCTTTAGTGAGTTAAGGACATAAATAAGTATTAATGTTAACTATTAATTAATTACATTATTTATGGAATTACATTATTTATGTATATCTGGTTGCGCATGCGCAAACCAGCTGATGGTACATATCATGCTTTCGGGACGGATCGGGTTGTGATAGTCTAGCACTTTAAAGTGGCACACTGGATCACATGACAAATTCAGTGACCTATTTGGCCCTCTCAAGTTACATTTTTTGAAGGGTAGCCTGTACAGATGCACCAAGCGCTGTATATTGACTCAAAAAATGAATTTATTATATCTCAAAGTAAGGTAATACTTGGGTCAAAAGTGTATGTAGTGTTACTTTAAGGATCACAGACTTCATATTTGTTTTTCTCATTTCCATACTGCATTAGTAATAAGAAGGTTAAACATGTAGAATTATTTAAGAAACATCATGTATATTTGTATGAGCCAGTTTAATTATTGATATATTGGCTCTTTTTTTACTAAAATAAATCTTAAATGTAGTAATGTTAAGAATATGCTGACCTTGAGCAGTTCATCTTCCACTGTGTCTCTGACCAGGTCTGCTCCAAGTCTTCTTGCTCTGCAGGTCAAATTATCAGTGACGATGGCATAAGGAACCTCAGTAGCATCCAGTGCCCTCTCCAGCCGCCTCTTTAGGATAAGCAGTGAATCTGTGTTGGCCTGCAGGTTCTCGATGTGCCGCTGCAGCTCAGACTTCCAGTAGTGGATCTCTTGGAGTCTTTCTCCAAGAAGACGTGTTCCTTCAGCCTGGGTCTTGAAAGCATCAGCCGTAGTTTCCTTGCATAAAGTCCTGGACTCCTGCTGAATATTCTGGGATTTGTGGCAGTTGGTACCGGCTTGTTCAAGGATGATTTGGTAACCAACAGTGGCTAAGTCTGAGGAAAGCTGCAAGTTGTTTGACTCCAGAGGAGAAATTTTTTCCTGGACTCCCTGAGCAGCAGCTCTGGTGTCATAATATGGCCGAGACAAAATAATTTCTGAATTCATTTTTGCCAGTTCTACTGGAGGAAAACTGATCTACAGGAAAGCTTTAGCAGCTTAAGACTAGATAAAAACCCTCCTTGGTAGTCCTGCAGCCAGTTTGTTTGCTGTTGCCTAGTAACACATGTTTGTGGGAGACACTCAAGTGACTGGTATCACATTAAGAGTGGAGGGGGTAGCAGCTTTATTCTGTTAATACACAGATGACATTACAGCCCCATAAGAAAACAATTAGAGTTTTAACGTTTTAACAAATGTTACATTAAAATTATAATACCACAGTTTTCATGAAGAATTACAGCTTTATCTAGGATGACCCTATTTTCATTTGGGAAAACCAGGACACCTTTGAGCGCGGGAATCTCTGTTCCCATGCATAGAGATGTCTGTGGCATGCACTCACTTAACATAGGCCTACATAATCCTACAATAACATTATATTTACAGTTGATTTATTAAAAATGCTTTTCAGTAAAAGTCAACAGCAATAACTCCAATAACAAATGATAATTTTTAGTTAAGATGTATTCATTAAAAATGCTTAACAATTACTGTAATGAATGAATAGCACAATGAAAGAAATAATGTCTCATCATCGGGATTTGCTCAGTGATCAGAGGATATGTTACTTGGCGCCGAACAGTGGTGAAAATTGGAAGTTCAGTTTAATATAATACAAGTCTGTGAATAGTTCCGTCTGAAATGAATGAAAATAGTTGTTTTAATGGTTATAGAGTCAGATATGTGGCGGTAATGTTTGGTTTATCTAAAGGTTTTAATCTGTTACTGTATAAATGGGTTTGGCTGTAATTTAAGGACAGATTCTAATATATCTGCAGAGTGGGGACTATAAATCTGATAGGATTTTTATCTTTTTATTGCTGTTTTGCACAATATGCTTAACTAAGTTTTTTTTGTTGTTGATTATTAGAGATTTTGCAGATATATTTTGTACATACATTGTTTAGATTTACTTATATATTTCTAACCCTTTTATAGAATAGAATAGAAAATCCCTTTATTGTCCTACAATGGGCAAATTTACAGCAGCAGAAAGATTATTGAAAATGGTCACACAAATGTGGACCTTAGAAAAATGTATAAGAAATACATAATAGGGAAGAGTTAAAATATAAAAAATACAATTCTGTAAAGTGTTTTAACAATATAAAACTGGAGAATACATAACCAATATGCAGCTATGGACATTTTTACAGTGATGGATATTTGAAAATAGCAGCAACATCAGAGATGTGCAGAATGACAGCAGCAGGTTATTTAACTGACTAAGGTTTCTATCATTACATTTGATTTGATTTGTTCCTGCTCCTGGTGGTTGGAACCTTTATTCCACTCTGGATTCTTGTGAGTGTAGTCTTTGTTCACTTTAACTTTAAAAAAAATAAAAAAATAAATAAACAAACAGTTTTGAAAACCTCGGTATTCATTCTTTTCCTGCTTTGTGTGTCAACTTTCACGGTTGCTAAGCAACAGAGCATACGGCGGTAAAACCCGCCGAAGGGAGGACCTGTTAAAATTTACAGACAAAACTCTTCCGGCCTCCTTATTTTCAAGGACTTCGAAGGATCCAGTCTAGGTAGACCGCGTCCTTGGAGGATGCAGCCCAGGTTTTCGAACAGAGCCTCTGATTAAGAACAGGGCTGCCCGCACTGACGCGGCTCAGGGATTACGTTACACGCAGCGTCGTGCACTGTGCCCTAGTGCCCAATTAAAGTAATCGGTCTCTGCCAGTCACGTGACATTTGTTGCTAAGATGCCATTTTTGGTGGAAAAGGCGTAGTGTAAACAACCGCAGCATAGCTAAACGAAGGACTAATGGATTGAGTTTGTTTCTCCGACTATATGGAAAAAAATAAGCAGAATGCAAACTTATCGTACCGGTGTCGTGCCAAGGTAGTTATCCCTGCGAAAATTTGTATCCCCTCGTCGGGAGCGCGCACGGAGTAGGAAGATCAACTGGAGTTAACTTCGCGTCAATTCCAATGTGCAGAACTTGAAATTTGAAAGGTTTTACGTGTATGAAAGTTGAGCTTCACTGTTTTATTCTTTACTTCACATGTTATAGCAGAATATCGCCAGTGATATTGATTTAAAACTAATAATAAAACACAAACGTTTGCTTGAAAGCTGGTCGTTGACAGCAGTGTCTAAGCAAACAGATCCTTGTTCTTTTCCACACGTTCATTAAAAAAATCTCTCATTGTTTCACAGTGTCCAAATGTTCTCATCCCATTGAAAACTATTGTAAACTGTATACTTGTAATAAAAATGAAATAGAAAATGGAGTGCACGTGTAATTATTAAAGACTATATGCAGAAGGAAATAATTCTTTCCTGGTTGAAATTTAGTACTTAAATCTATATCTGTGTTTATAGTAACTTACAATTTATCTATGTTGTACTATCCTTAATAAACAGTTTGTGTTCTTTAATCAGCCGTTTTATTTCATCCCATTTTGCCACAATTGGCAATATGGGATGAAATGAAACCTGCTGTAATCTGTTCCCCCTGTCTAAATCAGGCAAAAAAGGTCCCAGCTTTTTATTTTTGGCTTATAAGCATATTGGCTTTCTGTTGAATCAAGATTAGAATTTAAAATCATCCTTCTCACATATAAAGCCTTAAATGGCCAAACTCCATCTTATATCAGAGATATGATTGTTCCTTATGCTGATGAAGATTCTCAGTCATCCAGGTCATGGTAAAAGTTTTAAAAAAACAATCCACTGGACTTGGTTTCCAAAGTTTGAAGACATTTCGCTTCCCCTCCAGGAAGCTTTCTCAATTCAATGTCTGGATCCGCAGTGAGTTTCAGGCTTTATACAGCAAGGCATTGTATTGCTTGGAAA